GAGGCCGCGGGTCGGGAGGGGCGGGAGGAGAGGGAGCGCGCAGTCGGAGCAGTGCGGAGGCGGCTAGCGGCGCTATTGTCTTAAAGATAAATCCTAAACCACCGAGGCAGCTTCCTCTTTGGAGAGAGGCGGGAAAGAGGTCTAAAAAAACAGTAAGAAATCTTCCTGCTTTTCCCTGACGTGTTTCACCAGTTCTCCAGCTCTTGTGCCCCGGCTCGCCCTGGCCTCCCATTCGGATTTTTGGAAATTTAACACGTGCCTCTTGGAAAGCTTTCATTCCAAAGGCAAACCAGCTACTCACAAACCCTCACTAAACGAAGACAGTTATTTTCGAAATGAAATAATTAAAAATGAATCCTCCAAAAGGCTATTCAATACCTTTCTTGTAATTTCAAAACCTAGTAGGCAAGACGCCTCTTTTCATTGATTTTTTGTTTTATTGTCCCCCCCCCCCACAGGCCCCTAAAAGATTTGCAATTTTATGTCATTAATTTTGTGGTTATTTCAAGGGCTGCCAATACGAATATGATACACCTCTGCTTGTTAAGGATGAAAAGAGCACTTATGCAGTTTCTTGTAAATGTCCAGAATGTTATGTGTTTTAAGGAACATAAAGGAATTAGACTTAAAAAACAGATATCCTTTCTATTAAAGCTCCATAAAGGTGGTAAGGCTGGTGGTGTGTGGCTATGCGATCATATAAGGATAGTTTAAATACTGATCGTGTTCCCTCAGCTTAAAAAACGAATTTCTGGGAATTGCCTTGAGGATAAATCAAATCAGCTGGTCCATGGATGGCCCTTGTCCCCTTATCTCGAGTCTGCTTCCTATATTTATGTCATCAGAACATTAAGAGCACACAGTGCATTCTCTTCAGAAATTGCTAGCCACACAAAAACATCTGTTTTGCAACTTAGACCACAATGAGTTACATTAGAATTTTTTTTTTCAATTTCAGGTATAACCTCAATTGAGATAAGCTTCAAGAAATAATGGCGGCTACTCACCTCTGTTGTTCCTTGTCTTCCTTCCTCACCCCTGTTTCCTACCTCCCCTTCCAAGTTGCCTGGTTGCTGGTCTTTCTTAAAAGATCTCCAGTATTTTTTATAATAAGTACTTAATCTGTCAATATGTGTGTTTTTAAAATATATTTTATTGATTTTTTTACAGAGAGGAAGGGAGAGGGATAGAGAGTTAGAAACATCGATGAGAGAGAAACATCGATCAGCTGCCTCTTGCACACCTCCTACTAGGGATGAGCCCGCAACCATGGTACATGCCGTTGGCCGGAATCGAACCTGGGACCTTTCAGTCTGCAGGCTGACGCTCTATCCACTGAGCCAAACCGGTTAGGGCAATATGTGTGTTTTAAGTGTTATTCAGGCTTAATTTAATTATTAATGTACATTTTCATTCTTTTGGGGCTCATTTTTACTCATTATTGAAAATTTACATTGGGAATACCTTTATGTCTTTAAAATTTTTTGTGTGTTTTGTTAATGAACATTCCACTAAATAGTGCTTTACAGAGGAACACATTACTTTGACCAGTCAGTATTATTATGTATCAAGCAAAGTCATAATGAGCTTTGGTTAAACAAATTGAGTAAATAAATAAAATACTAATCTTTTTCATGACCAACTATTTTACAGAGGTGTAAGTTAAAAATATATTAAAGACCCAAATATCTTTTCAAAGGAAAACCATATCAAAAGGGTGTTCTGTAAATAAAGATCCCCTCTAGTTATTAACATTATTAATTCATGTGGAAACCCACGTTTTCCATTGCACATTGAGGTGTTTTTGTTTTTACTTTGGAGAAGGCAGGATGACCTAAAAAGCTTTTTTAGTTTCAAGAAAAAAACACACCAAATATTTTAAAAATGTTTTCCATTGCACATTGAGGTGTTTTTGTTTTTACTTTGGAGAAGGCAGGATGACCAGCTTTTTTTAGTTTCAAGAAAAAAACACACCAAACATTTTAAAAATAACTTATGTGCTTAAACTTTATGTCACATTTTCCTATAAATTACCTGGCTATTGTAGAGATATAAAGCTCAAAAATCAAAGTTGAAAATCAAGGACAGTTCTGAAAAAGCAAACACAAAGTTAGAGATAATGGATATATGAATCTGCACATTTTGAAAAGATCGTGTACAAAAGTATTTTTTAAGAATGAAAATTAAATCAGAATGGGGTCATAAAATGTAACTTTGTATTCTTTTGCTAATTGTTAGACAATTTGAGTAACCAGACTGAACCCAATAAAATGGAATATTCAACTATTTTTGACCAATCCAAAAAGGCAATTTTATCTGGCTTAACCTAATACAAACTTTAATGTGTGCATACTATAAACATAGCAGGAACATTTTCACCATTTAAAGAATATCGATCTAAAATAGCATGAATATGTAATAAATTCACCAGCAGAATGGCATTGCTTCCAGCATATAACACTTAGAACGAAATATACATTTATATTTAAAATCACCTCCTCTTCTAACTCTAAAAGAGGCTGCTCTATTATCCACTGAATTGAAGAGAACTACAACCATGTGAGTTTCAGTCCCCTGGAATTTCCACCTCAGGCTAGCATTGTACCTGCTTGACCATCTGCTGGCATAAAGGTGAAGCTATGTGCACTTTGGGGTAGTGGGGAGGGAAGCCATTTGACCTTTCCTGTCTGCGGGTTCCGCACTTCATTAAAGCGTCCCTGGAGATCACCAGCCTAACCATGAGAAAGACATCATTTGTAATTAAGTCCTCCCCACTGGCTATATTCCTGTTGAACTCCATGATGAAAACACAAATTCAATATTCTAAATGGTCACAAAGCATTTGATAAAAGGTTATTTTGCTTTTAATGCAGTGTGTGTGTGTGGGGGGGTGACATTCCATGGGCCCACGTTTTGTACGCTCACTCTGGGAAAGTGTCCTGCAGAGAGGATCCTCAAAAGGGCAAACGAAATAATTAGGCAATAAATTGTTCAACTGTTAAGAGCAGAGCCTTTTCAGAAGCTAGTGAGGCCATAGGAATATCCTACCATGTGATAAATATCCTCAACTCCTGGGAAGTAAGGGCCTGCTTTCCCCTTCTCGTCTGTTGTTTGGTTTGGGTTCACAGCACCTTCTTGTAATCTATTGCTCTCTCACGTGTTTCTTTATCCAGAATGCCAAAAGCCTTTCTTCATTTTTTTTTCAATAAATTGATGTCTATTTCATTAGTACAAATTCTACTAATTTTGCACTAAGCTCCAGCTTTAAGTCCTTTGTCATGCTCTCTTTGTCTTAATATTAGGAAAGCTCTTCCTTTCTCAGAATCCCGTATTACCGCTAAGAACATGCATTTGTCACTTTTATATTGCCTTGTATTTTATTTGTATTTTCATGTATTTAGGTGTTGTTGTTTTTTTAATCCCAGTGTACTGTAAACTCCCTGAGGGACGATATTTATATCTTTGCATCTTTACTTTTTAGCAAACAGCCTTGCTGTTAGAAGCTTACCAAAAAATGTTTATTGCTATTGTTGAAGATGATAAGATTTTTTATATTCAGTAGAGAAAATAAAAATGAATAAGGAAAGCTAGTTATTGAAAAAGCTGGTTAAAAACAAAACACCTCATAGACACAGATAACAACAGTATGATGATTACCAGAGGGAGAAGGGAGAGCGGGGAGGTAGAAGAAGGTATCAGGGTGGCAACTTGGGGTAGTAAACACACAATAAAATATACAGATAATGTATTATAGAAACCTATTTAATTTTATTAACCACTTTCACCCCAATAAATTAAATGAAAAAATAAAACAGCAGGTGATACCACCAAAAAAACCCTAGTTTAGAGTATTTTGCATCTAATAGCCAATGGCATAAATAATAAATCATCAAAGGTTGATTAATAATTCGTGTCATTGTTATTGATCTCATAGAATTAAAAGAAACATAACACATATTTTTCTTCCATGCTTGGCTGATGAGTGATGGTATAAATCATAATCAATGAAGGTAAATATTTTATTCCTTTAAGAAAATAGGTTGAGGCTAGTGAAAAATAAGGCTTTATCTTAGAATT